TTCTCACATAATTGGAACGAACATATTAGATATGCCTATTACTTTCAAGACTACCATCTGCAACAATTTGCTACTGTTATAGCAAATAGACATGACAAATAACTAAGCAAACCATAAATACAAAGATTTAGTCAAAAAGTAAACATACTTCAAGTTGGAAGCGAAGACATCTGAATTTCGTCCCCCAACATCCCATTTGATAGATCTGAAGTTTGAAAAGAATCTTTTCTACCACGTTCCAAAGAAGTTGCCTCATATATCCCTACAAGTGTTATTCAAATTTATACACAAGTTATGCAAAATTAATAATTAAAAATAGAACATAATAAATCATTATTAATAATAATGCAGACGTGCAAAAATTAAATGAATAAATTAACAGATTAATCAATAAATAAATAAATCGCATCCATAAGAAGCAGTAATCTACACATCTTTCATTTTCAGTAAATTTGTACGGAAGACATGATACAATAGTAGAGATGAGTATAACGTTGATCACAATCTCAATCACAACATGACATTGGCAATAATACATACTACACACATACCAAAGCCCAAAATTAAGCAGCAAATTAGGAAGCCTGGAAGAGAAAAGTCCATATTGTACACAATCTCCATGACGATTATGCATCCTCCAGCTACCATTAAATGCCTTGGAGAAGAGAAAACCATGTGTAATCTACAACACATTGAGAGCAATAATGATCAAACTTGAAGTATATGAAATGATCTAAAAACATTAAGCAAAACATTTCCAAGTATTAGACAAAACTGCATAGAAAAGTTGTGATATATACCTCTCTTCCGCGATACTATCAACATAGAATATCAAGATTACTCCAAAAAGAATGGTGCTCAAAAAAGCCCAAGTGGAAAATGGCACCTTATCGCTGGTACTTGAAGGTGATCCCTAAGTGCTCCAAAAAACCAACAGGAAAAATTACAAGTGAAAGAAAAAGTGAGAGGGGGCAAATAAAGAACAAATCAGACATTAAACAAGGCAAGCCCCATAAAATCAAACTAGAGTCACTCCAAAAATGTAAATCTAATCAAATTCGGCCTAGGACTGCTTATCATGTCATAAAACTTACTATGATCATGTCCCACATGGCCACGGGAAACAGGAAACATGTTGCAGAAGCAATAGTTATTGCATTAAGTCGCCTTTTAAGTTGATTCTGAAAGCACAGGAAGGGTACAATCAGCAGCAATGATTTTTTAACTGTTTTAATCAATTGAAAAATAAACAGCAATTTATTACTTGGTATGCTTAGAGCAAAAGAATATGAACAAGATAAATGAAGATGGACGAATATCAGCAATTCATCACCTTGAGTGAAACACGCCGCGCAATCACCCTTCTCAGTGCTGATAAGATTCCAGCAAAGATTGGAAGTACCATCTCTTTTATACCCAACAGTTGTTCTGTCTGAACCTCATCATCGAGGCTATCTTTAAATGGTAATTTCAGGTTAAGTCACAATAAAACGCTTAAAAATATTATCAGTGTCCAAAAGAGACACACACAAAATAAAGACGAGGAAAAATGATATGGAAGAATGGGATGAAGGAATAATAATAATAATAATAATAAAACACCAGTAACTAATCCTATACAGTAGTGAAAGAACAACAGTTTCGATAAGAGAGGATATAGAATGGAGAATATGATGCCATGGCCCACCCTTGAGATAAGAAGTAGAAAGATGCCACCATTGCAATAAGCCCACCTACCTGGTAAAAGATGAAGAAACATCCATGTGAGTAACAAGAATTAGTTTTCTCCTATTTTTCCATTAAAATAATTGATATTAAGTCACCAATACTTTAGATCTGATACTTCTATTCCTCGGATAAATCTTTCCTAAAGCTTGAACACAGAAACGTCCATACACGAACCAGCCTAGACAGTGAAGTCCTTCCTAAACTACTATTTTATATAGCTAAATAAAACATTGTGGCATCTTATAATGAAATGAGAAAATGACCTAGGACTTTACTGAAGGCCTTCATTTAAAGAGAAAAATGCTAACATAAAACCTTTGCTTATTTGCTCAGAGATGATGGTAGATAATTGATATGAAGAAAACAGTCTAAGCAAAGGACCAAGCATCTAACCAACTACCTTTTTCCAAATGTGGCCCTTGCGCCCATACAATACTCCAGACAGTACCCCAAGGACAGCACCAGAATATTCCGCTAATATAGCTCTAACATAATATGTAAAGATGAAAGAAAATCAGTTATAATTAACAAAAGAAATACTATTTGCTCAAATTAGGTTTAATCTGATATTGTCGCCATATGCTTATTGCTACTGGCTGATAGTTTCTAAAATTCAGTAGGAGCATATCGTAGCCAGCATATAATAAGGAGGGTGAGATATGCATTTGTAAGTGCTTAGTAACGAGATTGTTATACAATGGAAACTTATATAAACAGGCAGTTGCAAGTGCTTAGTATTAAGCCAAACCTACCTTAGAGGTCCACATGATTTGAGGCCTTTTCCCCATAAAACAAAATATAAAGCTGTTATGCCACCATTTATTATAGAAGGCACTACCTGAAAACAACTGGAACACTCAAGAAGTATGTAATGGGAATCACATAAATAAAATATGTTGATGCCTTTTTCATGTATTTTCTAATGAAAGAAAAAATATCACGGAACCTGTGTGTTTGAGAGTGGCCTGCCCTTCCAAGGCTTTTGCAAAATTAGAAATAGGATGGATGCTGGGATCAGACACGTGAAGAGGAAAAGTACAACTGAAGCTCCCGTTTCAGATAAGTAGCGATACAGGGAGTAAATTGACCATATTCTTAAGAAATTGCCGATAATATGGATTATTTGCAAGGGTGTGTGCCTACATTGAAGTAAGATCATTGGTATAATTAGTTGCGCTCAAAAAGAACAACGAAGTAAAAAACACACGAAATAATCATCTTGCCCAAAAGAAAAAAGAAAAATATTGTGCTTACACGCTGACATATTAGGTACAAAATGATAAAGCTCAGGACTTCATAAATCCTTCTATTATGGGGTTTTTAAAATTTGGGTGGAAGGGGATGAAAAGGAATTTTATTCCACCAACACCCAAACTGAAAACTAGGCCATCCAGCAACTACACGTCTTCCTTCAACATTGAACCTTAGCTCCTGAGGACAGCTTCTGTACTAGACCAGTTATTTTAATGCTCCTTATTAGTTATTACAAAGTGAAAACTTATAACTCCTTAACCTAGACCTAACCACGGAGAGAACCTCCACACAAATGCAATTCTCATCACTATTTTCTGATTTAAACATTTTGCCAAACCAAGCAGCTACTTGCCAACCAAAAAAATTCACAACTAGTTCATACTCAACCAACCCAGCTTAACAATTTGACTAAGCTAAATTTAGTTTTCTATCTTATCCTTGTGTATCTATATTTATTCACTTAATCTATTACTCATACTCGTGAACCATTCGGCACCAAGAACACTGAAACCCAAATTTCCTAGCAACCCAAACAAAACGAAAAACATTGCCAGTTTCATGAATTCCATAGCCAGATATTTAACAGCATAAGATTTCAGGCAATTTCCTTCCGTTTGATTTCCACAATGCTTCTAGGGAACCAAACACAGCCCTAGGGTTTTAAAATTCAAATCCTTGAAAATTAAAACAAAAAAATGCAAATGAATGAGATTGGCTTACCTAAAATGAGGAGAAGATCCTCGATCTTCAGGAATTTGCCTCGGAGACATCATTTTCGAAACAAATGCTTAATCGAAAAGTTGATTACAAAATTCAATCACTTGTGCATTTAATCGCTGATAATATGCTCCTCTGCTGCTTCATAAGTAACCCAAGAAGAAAGCAAACCTGGATAACGCTTCTTCTCTACCAAGTTCAATTTCTTTAGTTGTTCAGTCTCTGTAATGATATGGGGTTGTTGGGTCGATGAGCCCATCAACGGAGACATAAGGCTTCCGGGGCCCGTTCTGTAAAAGCTCTTGGTTAGGGTCAATTCATATTGGGCCCTTCCCTGATCTCCATTCTTTTCATGAGAACATTTGCTTGGGAAGAAAAAGTAGGCACTCATTGTCTACTTTTTTCAAAAAAATAAAAATAAAAATTTCTATTCAAAACACAAAATCAACACCAAAAAATCAGTTAAAGATTATATTTATCCTGAGAAGTAGTGCATAAATTGAGTACGAACCCTCCATAAAAAAGTTATCTTGCACTTTTTTTAGAAGAATGATAATCCAAACAATTCTAATGTGCGAAAAAGAGGTTCGAACTCTGGTAAAAAGGGGCATGCATATTACCTTGTCCTACTGACCTACCTTGTACTCTTATATAAATTCAATAAATAAGTGAGTCAACTAAATGAGTGCATTATTGACATTTAAAAGCATAAGTGGGAATAACATTATTTTTTAGGGTTTTTAACTGCAATGGTGAACTTCTACCATAATGTTATTTTGATCCTCTTACTCGTTTTTGAGTAATTTTGATTCTTCAAGTCTTGCACGTATTCCAATTTAGTCCTTCTTAAAATTACCAAACAATATTGGTACTTTTGTTTTTTGGTGGGGAATGGGCTTAATATTTTGAGCATCAAAACTACCAAAATTTTCTTAAACTTGTTGGTAATAACACAAAACAAAAACACCTCACCCTGATCGTTTCCGTCTGATTTCCTAGATCCTATGGTCCTGCGCTTACGAATGCATTCATTGGGGTGAGCAAAACCCATCGTCAATTTATTTGATTATCTTGTAACTGAAAAAAACAAAAATTATATAATATATATATATATATATTTTATCTGCTATAATCTTTATGAGTCCATGGGATATCAGCCATAGAAATGGGAGAGACACCATCAGATTCACACCGTCCAGCTGTCTACTGTATGAAGTATATACACATAATTCGTGTAGGCCAACATTAAACCCTTTAAATTCCATCAGTATCGGAGAAATCTGACCCGATCAACGGTCCAGGTAAAACTACCCATTTTTCAGCATAAACTGAAAATCCACACCTCATTGAGACCTCACTGTGCATTTTGCAACTTGGCAACAGCATTCGGCAGCTGAGAAAGTCCAAATCCAAATTACCTAAAAGGGCTTCTCTCTTGGCATCTTTGGTATTCTGGGTCTTGTCTAAAACGCGCATAGGCTGAGTACGAGGCTTTGTTTAGCGAAGTTTTGGGTTCTACAGTTGGAAAGGTGGAGTTTTTGCATCTGTATCTCGGTTTTCGAGAGAGATTGGAAGGCTATGGAGGCTTATAAGAAATGGGTTAGGGAGAACAAGGACTATGTGCACTCGTTGGAGTCTCTGGCCAATGTGAGCTATCTTAATTTCTATAAATTTCACTACTTTATTTCTTGATGATTATCAATTTATGTGAGTTTATCGGCATATGGTTCGCTTTTTCTTGTTTATTGGTTTGTCTATGCCGTTCGGTTAACTGGGTTTTTTGAGGTGAAATGGTTAACTGGGTTTCCAATGATCTTAGAAGAATCACTCGCAATTATTTTGTACTCCTTTATAGTCTTTTGTATTGTTAATTTTACTGTCTGTCCTTTTTGGTTTTCCTCTTCTTCTTCTTCTTTATATTATCCATGTGTGGGTTTTCTTTATCTGCAATGGTAACTCATAATTGGAGAAAATTCATGGAATGACTGCCCTTCAATTGTCTTATATTTTAAATTTTTGTTATCTTATCTGAATGTTGAAAATTTGTACAGGGATTCACATGGCTTCTACCCGAACGGTTTTCTGAGTCAGAGATAGGACCTGAAGCAGGTTTTTTGAAATTTTGGTAACATTTGGCTACTTCTTGTTATAGCTTAGAAATTGGCAGGGATTCTTTCTTTTACATAGTAATTATATGATTTTCTCTTGAGTAATTATACCTTTATAAAAGTAACTTTGGTTGCTAAGAAAATGAATGAAAGTTATCAAAATTTACAACAACAAAAAAAATTGAAATTCACACGTAATGAACAATCTTAGATTCTTAGGAGACTTATGATGAGAGCAGGTCGTTTGCTTTTCTGTTTTCTGAATAATGAACAATCTTGACAGCATATTTAAATTTACTAACAGTTATCTTGTCAATTGAATAACATATAACTAATGTGTCATTCTGATTTGTACTTATCTTGATCATATACATATCAATGCAATGAAGAAATTGGTAATTTTTGGTTTAATATGAATTCTGCAGTAACTGCTCTCTTTGGAGTAATAACTGCTATCAATGAACATATCATCGAAACAGCTCCACCTCCAATGCATGTTGGCTCTGCTGAGCGTTATTCTTTTCCCTATGCATTGTGTATATCTGCACTAAAGGACTTGGAAACGTTGGTTGAAGTTGTGGCTCAACAGTATTTTGGTGATGAGAAAAAATGGAATTTCATTGCTGCTATGGAGGCTATCAAGTAAGGATCATTTGTTACTTAGCATCATCACTCATTATTTCCAAGCATTTATTGTGTGTAGTTTTCTGTTCATTGACTCATTATGGATTTCATTATTTATCAGGGTGCTAGTTAGGTTAGCTTTATTCCGGAACAGTGGATATAAGATGCTTCTGCATGGAGGAGAGACACCAAATGATGAAAAGCATTTGGCTACATCAACTCCTCAACGTAATGGTTTTACAAAGCCTGGAGGGCAGCTTGGGCTTGGGTACTTAAGAAATAATAATGGACAGGACGCATGGAATTTAGAAGGAAGAGCACTATCTGCACTGAGTAGGTTTGGAGAGAATGCTAGGATGGTTTCAGAACCAGTATGGTTGCGTAGAGTTCAACACCAGCATGCAATTATGGAGCCTCCAAGTAACAATTAATATATAATTTACAGACTGGGTAGCATATGTAATTACAACATTTAATATTGATATTGTTTTCTTACAGCTCCAGTGGTTAAGAGGCCGACTCTTTCCACCATATTGTCCAAAAAGGGTCTTCATGGGGCGTTTTATTTGATTGGGGAAGCGCTATTTATAACAAGACCACTTATCTATGTTTTATTTATTCGAAAATATGGAGTTCGCTCGTGGGTTCCTTGGTTTCTTTCGCTGGCTGTGGACTTCACTGGGATGGGCATTCTTTCACGAATTACTTCGACAAGGGGTGGTACCGAGCAGCAGTTTCATCTTTCTGACTCTGAAAAGAATGAGGTTAGGTTTTTCAAAATTCTTACCTTGTAGACCTTGAGAACCTGGCTTATTTACTTGAGTGTGCTAATCTGTCATCTTTAAAATTAGCCCCTTTGTCAGTATTTAGTCTGTCATCACAGCTGGTTATGAATAGCTCTTTATAATATGGCATGGGTGCAGGTTAAAAGACGAAAGATGTTATGGGCACTTTACCTCATGAGAGATCCATTTTTCAGCAAGTATACCAGGTAATCCTGAATTTCAGAATGTAGTTGTAAATTGCCACCCTTCAAACCACTAACCCAACACACATGTTTTTCCTACCCTCACAATTTTTCTTTTGAAGAAAAAGTATGACTCGGTCTACCTGGGAATCAGGACCATCTTTGTGGGCCATGGGAGCAGTTATGGCAGTATTTGGGAAATTCATTTTTTTCTTAAAGGGTTGTCTTAAGTAATTTTGTAGAAAGACAAAACTTATAAGTAAATATTTTAAAATAGAGGTTTGGTTAAGTAAAGTGTTATGTGACAACAGCACCACTACTCTGAATTAAATTTAGTAATAGGTTGCTAATTTTCTAAGGAAGAATAATTCATGTGTCTGGTTACTTCTGTTGTCAAACATTTCAGGCAAAAACTCGAAAGCACCGAGAAAGTGTTGGAACCTGTTCCTATTGTTGGGTTTCTTACAGGTTGGTTTACTTTTTTTTCTTTTCCCTTTTCATTTTATGTTGCCCTACTGCTTTTTTCAAGCCGAGTTTCTGATGTATTCATGATCTGATCTTTCAAAAACAAAATCTTTGGTCTGTGCAGCAAAACTTGTCGAGCTCATTGTAGGAGCTCAGACGAGGTATACTTACATGTCAGGATCATAAGGTGGAGGCTGCAATGAGAGTTATGGTTATTAGAGTTTTCACATTTCTTGTAGGTGAAGCAAGTCCCCCAGCTGTATGATGTGTTTCTTAAAAACTGACCAATGTGTCAAATGGCTGTATCAAGTCTCTTACATTCTCAAAAATGAAAAAGGGAAAAGGTTTTATGTTGATTTTAGCGCGTCAAATATTGTGTGGAAAGTGACGACATGTTAGGTGTCACACAAGACAGATTGCTGGTTTCTGAGTCTGTTCAGGTTTCTGGTGCTGGGGCTTTGCCCCCCGGCTTTCATAATTTTTTGTGTGGAAAGTCCGTGTTTAGTTTGATGAAAAGGAGCCGTATGGAAAATATATTTGAGTAGAGGTCTTAAATCAAGATGCGGTTCGCCAGGCTCGATTGAGAGCTTTTGACCAAACTGCTCCTTGTTCACTGTGGAACAAATGCCTTGAACAAATATGTCAAATAGAGCTGCCTTTTTTAGTATGGTTCGATGAAGATTAGTTATGCTTTTCTTCACTGTTTAAATTGAAGCCTTCATTTCCATTGCCCCAAAATAAGCCTGCTCCTCGCAGATAGGGAAGGAGCCATCTTACAACAAATAGATGCACTTAGATCTCATTTTCACTATGTATGCGACCAACAGCAAGATCATGCATTTTAATTCTGATTGTAAACAAAGATAAAGAGGTTTTAACATTAAACGGCATTTTATTCATGTCATTGAGAACAAGATCATGCATTTTAAGCACGCCGTTCGGCAAAACACACATGTATATCCTTAAGCCAAAAGGTGTGTGTCATTTGTCTGAGTCACCAGACTCGACACAATCAAACATGCGGCAAATGATGCTTGGGGTTAAAAATAAATAAACATCACTAAATCCAAAAGAAAACCATGCCTGCAAAATAGATATAGTTGAAAATTTATAGTTCATTCTTAATGATAATAACGGGGCAAGGCAATTATAACTTTTAACTGTAGCAAATCCATATCACGCACTTGAGCAGCTGAATGCTAAACAAAAATATACGGGCTCGGTTGATTTAAAGTTGAGAAGAAAAATAAGCACAAAGAAAAGATGATAGACATAAGGGGTTAAGACCCTCCTCGACACCTCCAGCGTAGAAAGTGCACAGAAGATCCAACACTCGACTAAGTGCATAGAAGATCCTACACTCGACGACATGAAGGTTCTAGTGACCGTACTTCTGAAACTCCCACTCGCTGTTATCTGGGTTAACCAGACAAGCACAACAAAAAATTAGGAAATAAGACAATGTCGTGCTATAAAGACAGAAGCAGCAGGGAAAGGAAATATAATATAAGAATGGGAAGGAGATGAGTAAGGCATAAATCTTACCCAACGGACACACTTGGCGGGTTTTCAGCCATCGGCTTATGCAATGGAAGTGGAATGCATGGTTACAGACCCCTACAGAGATTCAGACAAAGAAACACCAGATGCTTAATGAAGATGTAGTAAATTTTGACTGACTAATTTTAGAATAAGCAATGACAACCAAGGTGCCCACACACAGAAGAAGACTATCATTACCAACATCTGTTTCAAGCATTAACCCAGATAGATCAAATATGATATAAGCAATCAATTTCAAGCAACGATATAGGGTGAATGAGTGCTAAGACTACAAAATACAGCTTTGAGGACACATAGAATGCAAAAAGAGGAATTCAAGCAAGCTGATATGCCAGAGAAAATATAATGAACAGTTCTGCAATACGACTTCAAGAATCTCCTTTTTTCTTTCTATGAAAAAATCTCCCTTTCAATGAAGTTTTCCGTTCTTTTTCTTTATATTTAAGCACCTAACAGAGATACTAACCACACTAAGAAAAAGTCTTAACCACCATCTTTGCACGGTCTAAGATACATAATTCTTTCCCTTCCCTCTATTACACTTCAAAGATACAGAATTACAAAGAACGGCCTTGCCAATTATGTAGAATGTATGGGGGTAGAAAACATGAGAAATAAAAAACAAGGCAGGTATCCAAAAAATTTATTAAAATATTAAATACTAGTGAACTTTTAAGCTACCTATGAGCCAGATAAATGGTGAAATATCATAAATGTGATTAGCTACCAAGGGCATATCAACTATAGTAGTCTTAAATGATTAGCATATGCATAAACTTGAGGAAAGTAGGGTTTGAAAGCTGAAGCATACCCCAAGCAACCGTACACTCCTCACTTGTGGCACTTGCCTGGTTCGCTTGGCACTCGATGCCTACTCACCACCAAACAAAAAATCAATAACTAAATAAAAAAATCAAGAAAAATCAAACTATAAAATTATACGAAAAACACTCACAGAGATCCATGATATGGTTCCTGCAAATGGCACAGTTATCAACCACAATATCTGCATATAACAAAGCAAAACAACATCAGTACCCGACTTAAACACCAAGTTAGTTAAAATTCTAAACCATGAGGAAATCAGATAAATTAGGGTTAGGGTTAGAGTGGTTACCCCACGCCCAGAGAGCTACAGCATTCCACTTCTTGATCTCGAACCGCTTGGGCCTCTTGGTCGAAGAAGGACCAGCGCTGCTCGAAGCCTCGCCTACCGGTACCATCGGCACATCAGAGTCCAATGTGGCCATGACTTAGCTTCATAATTAGCAAAACAAAAAACTCAAAATTCATCGTATCACACCAAATATCTACATATATGGGCAGCAAGCACACCAAAATAAGGGGCTTTAACTAACAACATAATTTCAATAATTCAGTAATATTTCGATGCGTAGCCCCAAAATTTCAACAATCACAGAAGTGGAATTCATGAAAGCTCAGTTGCAGATCGGCAGCAAGAAATTATAACAAAACTATAACCCAAGGTTTCTGGAATCTCATATCATGTTTTAAAGTTGAACAAAAACTATACAGAAAGATGTACAAAAATCACAAGAAACTAGAAATGATCCATTGAAAACAATACGAAAATCTTTCTAAACCCAAAAAGAAATTCCAAAACTGGGTAAAACCTTCGACTGAATAAGCATCCCAAACAACAAAATTGAAGAAAGATTGAAAGAAACCTGAAAATTTGACGTACCGAATGGTGTAATTGCTAGCGGCAACGAAGCTTTGTTCTCGCTCTATGAGGAGAATCAGAGTTAGACGAGGGAGAGAGCGAGAGAGAGAAACACTCTGAGTTTGCTGGGTTATTATAATTGGGTCGGGTTTTCTTCTTTGTGGGTATGAGAATTTCTTCTTTCTTTTTTTTTTGTTTTTCAATGAGAATACTATGTTGACATCCCTTCCGTGACAACACTATGATGCCATTTTGAGAAGATAAGCTTTTATCATAAAAGTTATTAAACAAGATAATTTCTAGGCGCTTATATTCCGATAAGAATTTCTAGTGCTTTTGTGACCAAAATTATAATCTCTTTAATATCACAAAACGTTCCTAAAGTTTACGAAACTATCATATTGCATTTTTAATGTTTTTTTGTGTCATTCGTGGTCCTCAAAATTAGTATGTGTGCTCACAAATAGTCTCTGCCGTTATGTTCCGTCAAAAACTCTGTTAGATTACTGACGTGACATATATATATATATATATCACAAAACATCCCTAAGGTTCACACACTTATCAAAAATGGTCCCGCGAAATTTTTTTATTTTTTCATTTAAAATTCATAAAATTTTGGTTTTCTTTTTTACTTTATGAATTTTAACTTATTTAAAAATATATATTGTATTTTAAATACATGTGACACTATATTATTGGAGATGCGGGCTCCACATATATGCCACATCAACAAACTAATGAAGTTTTTAAAAAAAAAATTTAAAATTCATAAATTTTAAAAATGAAAAAAAACCAAGGGTTTAGGGTTCATTAATGGTCCTCAAGGTTAAAATCCTTCTATAAATGGTTTTTTCATTTTTAAATTTTATGAATTTTAAATTATTTCAAAAAAAAAACTCCACTAATTTGTTAATGTGGCATATATGTGGAGTCCACATCTCCAATAATATAGTGTAACGTGTATTTGAAATACAATATTTATTTTTAAATAATTTTCTTTAAAAAAACCAAAGTTTTACGAATTTTAAATGAAAAAATAATTTAAAAAATGCAGTGACCATTTGTGATAAGTGCGTGAACCTCAGGGATGTTTTGTAAAATATATATGTCACGTCAGCAAACTAACTGAGTTTTTTATGGAACCTAACGGCAGATACCATTTGTGAGCACACGTACCAACCTTAAGAATCACAAACGACACATAAAAACAATAAGGATGCAATCTGATAGTTTCATAAACCTTAAGCCTTTTTAAAAAAAAAATACAAATTTCTAGAGTTTTATAAGTATACAGGAGGAGGAGGGGAGTGAACATTTTATATTTTAGGAGGGTACAAAACGTAAAACATAAAGCTTAACCATATACATTATGTTCACTTATAGTGTAAATTATTAACTCCAAGAGTACTAGATTGAAATTTATAGAGGTCTTTTTGTTTTAACAGCCTAACAAATAAGCTTGGGTTGCTGTAAAGAAAAAACAGATAGAGTTGCCCCTGTGTATGAGTTCGAGAACCAAGCCCCAAGAGTGTTTTGAAAGGTTCGTGGAGCCTTAGAAAACACATTGGATCCCTTTCACCAATGAATCAAACGGTTGGGACGGATTAGCAATATGGCTTGACTTGAGAAGCTTGTGGCATGGAAGTTAAGTCTTCATCATGTGGTATAGAAATGTGGTAAGTGTAGCATTACTTTTTTGGGCCTCAACAAAATTAGTGGTTTTTCTTTCAAAAATATTGTACGATTTTGACAAGTATTGATTAAGGTTAGAGGGCAATAGGGCTTAAGTATAATAGTGAAAAAAATTAATTAGAAGCCACTCTATTTTATCAGAGCCAGGTTTCGATCCTGGGACCTGTGGGTTATGGGCCCACCACGCTTCCGCTGCGCCACTCTGATTTATTAATATATTTATTAATATATTTATTATTGTAATTCCATTTATATCTACAAATTCATTAAAAACACATGTCGAGATACCATTTGTTCATCTCATACATGTTAATCACTTGGAGATTGAATTGAAAGTAAAAAGTCTTAAAAAAACAAAAACAAAAATTGGAAGCCACTCTTTTTTATCAGAGCCAGGTTTCGATTCTGGGACCTGTGGGTTATGGGCCCACCACGCTTCCGTTGCGCCACTCTGATTTATTAATATATTTATTATTGTAATTCCATTTATATCTAAAAATTCATTAAAAACACGTGTCGAGATACCATTTGTTCATCTCATACATGTTAATCACTTGGAGATTGAATTGAAAGTAAAAAGTCTAAAAAAACAAAAACAAAAATTGGAAGCCACTCTTTTTTATCAGAGCCAGGTTTCGATCCTGGGACCTGTGGGTTATGGGCCCACCACGCTTCCGCTGCGCCACTCTGATTTATTAATACATGTCTTACTGTAATTCCAT